AATGCCAGATAGGAGATACCTTCTTTTGAGCTGTTGGCCAGGGTGGCCAAAAGAACTCCCAGATAGTACCCAGCATAGAACTGGGATAATGAACAGCAGACCCCAATCTTATCTAAAGGAATATAGACAACTGATTGCCGCTAATGAGGAACAGCTGACCCTCCTAAAACAAAGACCTCTAGATAGGCTGACTAGATTCACCAGAAGGGCAAGTAGTGGGGAATGGCTGGGGGTGCCGACAACACAACAGACAGTAGCAGAGATATCAGAGTATAAGTATTCTTAAACAGTGTATTTTGAAGCATTCTTATATTTTGCTAAGACTCAGTTTTCTCTTAAGAACAGGAAATTTTCTGTCCCCCTTAAGGGGTCCTTGCCTACCCCAAAGCCAGCAGGGAGTTTGTGATTCTATCTTTTGTGCCTTTAGAGTTTATTCTAAAGGCCTTTGCAATATGCTACATTAATTTCTATTTATGGAAAGGGTTGTGAAAGGTCATACCTTAGGTTTTTGTGCCATGCAGTCTGACTTGACGAAACCCAGCTTTATATTCTAATGTAAAAGCAATACAGACAATATGAAAAGAAATGACTGTGACTGTGTTTCAAATAAAACCTTATTAGTATCCAATGCTGAGTGTTATTCAACTTCGCCGGTTACACAATATCATTTTCCAATTGTTTTTCCAACAATTAATTTTTTAAATTGTTAGCTTCTGGGCCACATGTGAACAAGCACGGGTCAAATTTGGCCCATAGATGATAACTTGCTCACATCTTCTTTATAGAATTAGATAAGGATTGAGATTGAATTGTTTTTCTATGTCAATATACAGTATTTCCAGTACTACTTGATGAAAAGTCTTTTTCTCTTCTTCCTGTTAGCTTTAATGTTTGACTCACGAATACAATATTTATCTTTGACTTACTACAAACTAATCTAGTTTCCCTGGCATCAGAGAATACCCTTAGCCTAACTTAAATATGTTTATTTTATTTTATTTTAAGGCATAGTCTCACTATGTAGCCCAGGCTGGCCTTGAACTTGGTATCTAGCCCAAGCTGGACTTGAACTGATGGCCCCCTGTGTCAGCCTCTCCAGTGCTGAGTACAGATACGAACCAGCACACCGAGCTGCCTTTATCATTTTAAATGGAATGGTGCTTTGCTTATGCTATAGAACTGAGTGTATAACCCCTATTGACACATATACAATGTGCCCTTGAAAATTACATAAGCTCTGCAGGTGGGTAAAGTGCTCTGTAAACAGTGAACCTGTTCTCGTTGCAGGTCTCTTTGTGATAATATCCTGACCAAAGCAACTAGTGGAGAAAAACTTGTAATCATCTTACAATTTCAGGTAGTCCATCGTTTCAGGGAAGTCAAGGAAGGAGCTTGAAGCAGTTGTTGGTATCCACAGTCATGAGCAGAGTGCACGCATGCATGCTTAGGACTCAGATCACTTTCTGTACTGTTACATAATTTAGGGAATGTGACCACCCACTTTTAGGCTGGGTCTTCCCACATCCACTAACATAATGAAGACAATCCTTCATCCCAGACATGCTCACAGGATGTTAGACAGGAGCGTCCTCCGGGAGAACTGGAGACAGCCATGCCCCAATCAGTCAGCTTCAATTGCATGAGGGGGAGGGCCTAAGGACAGAGGTGGAAGAGCTGGGAAGTAGCAGAAAATTGCCAGCTGCAGGCTGCTGGTTGGGCACTGGCACTGGTGGCAACGGATGTCAAAAAGCTCAGCTAAGATGTAGGGAAAAGAGCCCCCAGGCATCCATGCCTTTGTAAGTGACCCCCTCCCAGATGACATAAACTTTGTTGGCAGGCGAAATAAATATCTTTATTCCCCAAACTGTAGCTTAGAATGGCTTAAGGTCGGTTTTGTTGGTCAGGTGTACAGACATCATGGGCCTGGGAGCGCTTGAGAATTTGGCGTTACACAGAACAAACTGTCAGCCCTTCACTGAGGCTCTCTCTCTTCCCAAGTTCTTCTTGACGGTGTCAAGTTTGCAAAACTAATGATCACAGAAGTCAAGTTGGTTGATACTGTTGTTGACATCTTCCACATCCTCGCTGCTTTTCTGTTTTAATCACCTTTTTACTTTATTGAAAAGGGAAGGAAGGCTCTGACACTTATGGCAGGTTAGTCTGTTTCTTGAAACATTTTTGCTTCAGTATTCTGAAGCT